GTGAAGCACAATTATGTTTGAATCAAGATGACATCCAAATGCAAAATGACACTGGATAGTTTCTCCTTTTTTCTCTCTCTAAAAAGATGATTTGAGAAGTCGATTAGCAGAACAGAAACAGTTCTAGATCATCACAATTTTATCAGTCACAACATAAAATTAAATCGCTTCTAATTAATTTGATACTGAACATGTCAATGCACCGCCTCAAAATCTCACCAAAAAATCTTTTATCGCACACCAGAAACTAACATGAATGTTAAAATGATTTCATAGCCTGTCCTCTACTGTCAATCACCGACTCAGAGTCCACGTCTCACCCCTGAACTCAGCATGTGGATAGTGTCGTTTCCCTTACGATGACAGTCTAAGGCTTACTAACTCTTCTGTGCTGATGTTTCTGTTTTAAAATGACTTTACTTCTATCATGACCTCTGTAAACTCACCTGGACTCCTTAAACCCCGGTGAACCTCTTAAACACCCTGAACATGCTCAATCCTCCTGTTTAAGGGCTTTTAATGCCTTTTCATTACTGTGGCATGTACAATGGCCGGCATGCTGAGGTTTTGTCACAGCTTCTCTAAAACAGTTATTAGAACCCCAAACTTTAGGGGCGAGCGATCAATAAAGGAAGGAGCAGGTCTAGGAAACGGGGGAGATCAGAACAGGGTTTAGGGTCAGAGGTCACAGGCTGAAGCGGAAATGGGAGACAGAGACTGAACAATGCTGAGGGCTGGACCAGCAGACAGAGATGCAGGGGGGCGACAATGCACAAAACACCAGGAATACAGGGATGAGCAGAGAACAGAGAGAGCTTAAAACAGAAGGTTAAAGGAGGGAAAGAGAAATGAAGAAAAGCCACGATCAGGAGAATTTGTGCCTGCATGACATGCATATGGTCCACTGTAAAGACAAGAGACAGTCTCACAAACAGTGGAATAGACTGATAGTTAAATATCAGTTATTATCATTGTGTAGGGGGATACCATTGCAAATTAGTGTTGTGTATGGTTGAAACAGCTGAGCTAAAGCGTAAAGCACGACGCCTGTCTGTCAGACGACGAAGAATAACAAAAACGCTTCACGTTTCATGCTTGTAACCTATCCTTTAATCATACAAGTGCATAGCTTTTTGTTGCTCTTTTTACACCCATATTTTAAACTATTGTAAATTAGAAGAGTTTTTAGATGATTGTTGTCAGTCTTTCTTGTGGACGAGAAAAAAGACACTTAATTTATCTAAGATGCTTAAGAAAGTTTTAAAACGGGCAAACTAGTAATAAGGAGACTAATAATTATTTATATGACATTGTGGACTTTGCTCAGTGTGAGTTTCGGCATTAAATTAACATCGACCAAAAACCAGGCATATTGCTCGAATGTGATTTAGCCTACTTTTTTAATTTTTATATTCATAACACTAAATTAAAATAAAAGTTGTCCTAAACCCTCGGTCACCTGCATTACTTGATGTAATGAGGTAAAGTGGATGACAGCATGACAACAGTCGCATTGTTTCAGCTCTTCTGATCGGTTTGGATTTGAAAGATTCAACAACATGAACCTTTGCCCTCTGATTTCCATACGGACACACCCGAAGCACTGCACTTTATCTTGATCGCCGTGGGAATGAGAAAAGTGCGAGAGGAAACTGATTTAGCAGCTCAATCGGACCTTTACAAGGTTTTCAGTTACATTTTAGGAATATGAACATCTCATATATATGAAAACTGAAATAATATTAAATAATAATAATAATGACAATAAACAAACGCAAAAATATATTATTCAATTATTCTTTAAAAATAAAGTGCTACACTTTTGTAGGCTTTAGATTTTATAAGAGTACCTAGAAGCCTTTGTGCAGGTTATGCAAAGTGTTTAATGGTATGTTTAGATTTATCCATTCATCAGTTTTTCTTAGATTGTCGATATTTCCAGTGTTATCATGTGTTGGTCAATGTAAGTTTCACAGAAACTTTAAACTGAGTACCAGTAAACCATAAACTGCCCTTGACCCTTATCGCAGACGATATCTGTCCATTAAAAATAAATGCAATAAATCAGAGATGTAGGCTAAACAAATGCAGAATGTGATTTCAGCCCAGTCTGTCCTTTTAAAATATTTAATTGTAGGCTATACTAACTGTGCATACTGAAACAACAGTTCGAGGATGAAATTCAAATATTGTTACACTGTAATGCGGCATATTTGTCTCTGTACATTTTAGGAATATGAACATCTCATATCTATGAAAACTGAAATAATATTAAATAATAATAATAATGACAATAAACAAACGCAAAAATATATTATTCAATTATTCTTTAAAAATAAAGTGCTACACTTTTGTAGGCTTTAGATTTTATAAGAGTACCTAGAAGCCTTTGTGCAGGTTTTGCAAAGTGTTTAATGGTATGTTTAGATTTATCCGTTCATCAGTTTTTCTTAGATTGTCGATATTTCCAGTGTTATCATGTGTTGGTCAATGTAAGTTTCACAGAAACTTTAAACTGAGTACCAGTAAACCATAAACTGCCCTTGACCCTTATCGCAGACGATATCTGTCCATTAAAAATAAATGCAATAAATCAGAGATGTAGGCTAAACAAATGCAGAATGTGATTTCAGCCCAGTCTGTCCTTTTAAAATATTTAATTGTAGGCTATACTAACTGTGCATACTGAAACAACAGTTCGAGGATGAAATTCAAATATTGTTACACTGTAATGCGGCATATTTGTCTCTGTTTAAGGCTCAAAATCCACGTGAATTGTTCAACTGTAACTGCTCTTTTTTAAACAGGTCTAGTTTATTCTTGATATCTGAACAGCACTCACCGGTGTAAGGTTTGTTTTGGTAACAACAAAAATGTTAACTCTGAAATGCATTTCAAATAGTATATATCTGGACCCAGCATGAAGCCATATAACACACAGACAACAACTCTTTTAAACAGGACACATGAAAAACACTTCAGAGTATTGTGTTTTTCTTTACTTGGTTTCAAATCATTTCTCATAAATGGTTAGTCTACTTCATTAAAGAAATAGCTAACCACTTTTAGGAATTTAATGCATCATTAATTTAGTACTAACATATTTGTAACTATCGCTCATGGGTTAAATCCCTTGTTAAACTTTCGGTAACCTCTGTTTCTCTCTCTTTCTCCCGTTCTCTGCCCTCTCCTCAGGCGTTTGTTCTTCATTCGCTCTTTTTGCACTTAAAAAAGGAATTTTCTGCTTCCATTTACCGTGATTCTCTTTACTCTGTATTTATCTGAAAACACCAGCACTTTGTTCTGCACTCGCTGTATTTACAGTACGCACCGGGCGAAGGCATGAATACGAATGAATGAAATGAAAGAACCTTCCGAGGAATAACAAGATAAGTATATGGAGTGCGTTTGGCCTGTCTTATTTTTCTTTTAAGCCTTTTAATGTGGTTTAATTATCTTGTGCCGAGGCCACATCCATGTAATGAGTCTAACGGAAGCACAAAATATTTATTAACACTCATCCACGTTTAGCTCTTCTTCAATTAATGTTTGGTGTCAAAATGTGCTAATAAAATATTTGCTCCTTTCTGCGCTGCCACGCGCCATATGGCAAAGGCCAAACATCTCACTGTCATAAATGAGTAATTCGAGTTGTCCTGTTTGGGTTAAAGTTGTGAGAACAACAAAAACTGTGTGAAGATGCTCGGGAATCCAGTTACCCTGCTGAGAGTTAGTTTATTCACGGGGAGCCGCTCTCAAGTGTCAAAACAGCCCAATAAAAGGCAGCGAGAAGACCTTGCGTGCCCATTTTTTGTATTTTTTATACAGGACTAAAGATGAAGACTTTAACGGCAAGCGATTAGGAAGAATACAGATAAATAATATAACATTATTATTATTATTAAACAATAGTCAAATAAATAAATAAAATCCAGTAGGCCTAATTATATATTTTTTGTCGCCTGCTCTGTCAACAGAGAGCTGAGGTAAACCACTGTAAAGTGCTGGTATCCATCAAGTGAGGGATCAGGTATTTGTCATGATATAATAACAGATTATAGCAAATCATGAGTCCAATTGTGTGTGAACGATGAGAGCGTTCACATCGCCCCAGGAGGCGCGTTACATCTCACATCTAATCACTGAGGGGGTGAATGAAAACAAGCCCGATCCTTGACAAATATTTCCGTAAACGTTGACGTATCGCTTGGTGTTTTGTTGTGTTCTGGGAGCGCTTGAACACCCAGAATCATCCATCCGTACACTTTGGTCTGGGCGACACTACGATGCAAACGTCACGCTACACGAACCGCCCCCAAATCCGTCGTCCAATGGTTGAAGCGCGTCCTGGGGGCCAGAGAGCCGCCGGGATAAAACCTCTACTGGGCCCGTCAGGCGCTCTTACTGCTCCGTAATAGCCAACCGGAGAAACTCTAATCCATCCGACCGAGCGGCCAAACAGAATATGTGCCATTCTAACTGACACTGGCGTTGGATAAAAGCCTTCGGATATTTCCAAGCGTCTCTTCCCCAAAAGGTAAAACATGCTTAGCATGCATTAGATATCATTTTTGCGCATTGATTTGGTGTGGATTTAATGGGGCCGGCAGGTGTAATTTATTGATAACTGCAGACACAACAACTTCTGTGCCTCATAATGTAGCTACACTAGGCCTATAACACGCAGTAAAACAAGCGAAATCTCTTTAAAAACGAGGAGCTTGACGTTAAAAACTCATCGACTAAACATTAAGTGCTTAAGTATCGAATATAAGAGGCTGTTTGATGCAAATAGTCATTAATAAATATTAAATAATAAATATATAACAATAGCCGTAACTGTCAGGTTCACCATAAATGTCCTTTTGCAGGGAATAAAACTATCAACGCAGGAATATTTTCACGCAAGACCTCATATGGACTAAAACACAGCAAATTAAGTGAGAGTGGACACTCGGACATTTAACCAGGACATCAAGAGACCAAGACTTCTCTGAGAAATGTCCAACACAACTGGGCGAGGTAAAAACAATAAACGAGTTATTTTGAAATATATACCGGAATCTGTAGATCACATGAAATGTCTAAATTTATCCTAATTTAAATTATATTTTACCATATAGTTCAGTTCAAGAAACTATAGGCTACTCAGGGAATATCAGACAGACCTTCCTTTTTATTTTATTAGTTTATTTTACAAATAGCTACTGTTAATTTATAGAAATTATGAAATATAAAATATATCGAAAATGTAAATTTGACAGTAGTGGTTTGACAATTTATTATAGGAAGTTATGTGTCATATCACTATATTTCCAGCGGTCCGTGTTGGTCTCATGTTATATGAGGAATACTTGCTTATATATAACAAATAACAAATTGAGATCCTCACACATTCATAACAAAAATCCGATTTGGGAAAATTACAAAAAATTAAAAAACTTTCCTATGAATTGGATTTTTCGTTGTTGTTTAAATAGTTTATCTAGCGATCGGAGTGCAGAAGAAGGGAGCAGAAATCTCGAGAGGAGTTAGACATGAAGTCTTTACTCGCACAGATATTGACTTTTCCTTCAGAGGTTAATGGCTTAAATCCGTCGGAGCTCAGTTCAACAATAAGAGCCTATAGCAATTGAGCAGTAAAACCTGCTCCAGACACCGCATTCTAACACATGGATTTTTGCCGGTATTTTAGTAATTTACGACTGTATAAGAGCGGCGATGGAGAGAGACATCATTCAGTTTTTGTGTTTCACCCCGAAAGCCGCTTTCCTGCTTTCTCTTTTTTACATGAAAATGAATGTATTGATAGTATTAATGGTGCGTTTTATAAGTTTTCATTTAGGTTGCTATAACATGTTTTCAATTATTTTATACAACATCATATATAGCCCCCCCCCCCCCCACCCCCCATGATTTCAGTCTCATATTTCTACCTGAACATTTCGTTTTCCGTGTATTTAAACTAATGTACAATTTAAATTATTTTTGTATTCCGTTGTTCATTGAAACACGATTATTATGGTCCAAATTTGTTGGAATTTCGTCTTGTTTTCCTAAGCTAAACGCACTGTTTTTACCCCCATTGCGTACTGAAATTATAGGCTGAGCAAATACTTAATTGTATGACATAGATCAAGTGTCCATAATGTCAAAACAAAATAGATCTAACATTTTTAATATAAATAATTAGTTAAAATCATTTTGTAAGCGATGCGCTATATATTTTGTAGTTCAGGCCATGACTCGTTAAAAACTCTATTAATAATGTAGGCTACATAAACAATTAAAATCCATAACCAAAACTAGGCTATAAGATTTGGTTGCGTTAAAGTGAACGTAAAACTTAAATTAGTACAGCATTAGGAACATTAGGAATCTGTTAACCCTGTTTTTTCTATTTAAGTAGCCTACTTTTAAATTGGCATGATTGTGTTTACATAAAATGTTGCCAAAGCACTATACGAAAGAAAAAAAAAGCATTTTGGAAACAAAATTGTACTCAGAAGTAAGCTAAATGTCATTTGTCCTTAATTGTGGGGAAAAAAACTTTTTATTGTAAAAATGCAGTAAGTTTTCTGTTAGGATATGGTGTGGGTTAGTACTTATTTAACTAGCTGTTTATAAAAAAACAACTGAAATCTATGAAAGGTCGCCATTTAGATAGTTGTGTGTGTGTGTGTGTGTGTGTGTGTGTGTGTGTGTGTGTGTCTATTCTCCTGGGGTTTCTCTGCTTTAATATCCTGTCGCTTGCTGACTCTTGGCGAGGAGAGTTTGACACACTCCGCTAACACCGTTAATAGCGCCGTTTGATGTGGAAATGAAAGCTGCAAAAGAGCAAAAGGGGAAGAAGAGACTGAATGGGTTAAATTAAAAGTGAGGCGCTTGTGAGAGTCACTGGTGCGGCGCAGCACCACACACGAGCGCGGACAAATTTCGTCACAAAAGGGCGCATGGCGAAAACACGAAAAACGAACATTAACATCTGCTGCTTAACATCAAATCTATTATCCAGACACTAAAAACAAAAACAATTATAATAGTAAAATTATTACTTATTACTGAACAATAGTTTCCTTATGAATATCGTATGTTTAATATTTAAATATTTAAAATGTTTAGACGTAAGCCCCTCTCTCCATTATTTCAGTGCAAAGGATGAATTTCTTTCAAATATTATTATTTTCCTCTGATAAAATGTTACATGTTTTATATTTACATGTAAGTTTTAATTGCCTTAGTATAGGTTATTTACACTTGAAGACACCAAAACGTTAATGGCTAAAACTGGAAATAGCAGTAGGTGACATCAGTTCATATATTATTATTATTTTTACAATTTCTTCTATATCTGAGACGAGTTTAATGCAGTCAGTAAATCCAAATATTCTACAGGACATCTGTGTCCCACAGGAGCATGAGATACATATCTGGAAAATCTTTCCAGAAAACTTATACAGAGCGGTCTAGACCAGAAGCTGTCGGGTTACAGTACTCTAGCCTGGTGATCTGGAGCTTTATGTGATCGTTTTGAGTGTGTTCATAGAAACTGAGGAAACATCGGAAATGCTGAAGACATAGTTTAGTAGATGACATCTGTTTAAGTCTGTCAAGTTTGTTGAATCTGGAAAGGTTATCTTCAGGACACTATTGAGAATGTACATAACTTTCAGAAGAGTGTTAATGTGATTCGGTAACTACCCAAAGAAACCTCGATTTCTGTAATGAGGCCAATTAAATTCACCTGTGCTGACAGAGGCAGTGTTCATTGTGCACGTTTTTCTCATACATTTGGCATGATGTTTATGTTTGTTCATGTCCTTTCACCCCCAGGTCATGGGGGTCTTAATCAACTAGGTGGCATGTTTGTGAATGGACGCCCGCTCCCGGAGGTCATCCGGCAGAGGATCGTGGACATGGCGCACCAGGGCGTACGACCTTGTGACATCTCCCGCCAGCTGAGGGTCAGTCACGGCTGCGTCAGCAAGATCCTGGGCAGGTAAACAGTCCAGAGCAGCCCATACTGGAACACATCGAACACACACACACGCACCACACACACACACACACACACACTCTAACAACAACAGGATGGGCCAAACACATTCACTTATTTTCTACTTTTCCTCACTTAGTATTTGTTATGTCTCCTCTGCTCCGCTGCCAAACATACCGAATCAGGATGTACATTTATTGTACATGTATTGACCAAGCTGCACTTGCAAGGTGTGTGTGTGTGTGTGTGTGTGTGTCTATTCTCCTGGGGTTTCTCTGCTTTAATATCCTGTCGCTTGCTGACTCTTGGCGAGGAGAGTTTGACACACTCCGCTAACACCGTTAATAGCGCCGTTTGATGTGGAAATGAAAGCTGCAAAAGAGCAAAAGGGGAAGAAGAGACTGAATGGGTTAAATTAAAAGTGAGGCGCTTGTGAGAGTCACTGGTGCGGCGCAGCACCACACACGAGCGCGGACAAATTTCGTCACAAAAGGGCGCATGGCGAAAACACGAAAAACGAACATTAACATCTGCTGCTTAACATCAAATCTATTATCCAGACACTAAAAACAAAAACAATTATAATAGTAAAATTATTACTTATTACTGAACAATAGTTTCCTTATGAATATCGTATGTTTAATATTTAAATATTTAAAATGTTTAGACGTAAGCCCCTCTCTCCATTATTTCAGTGCAAAGGATGAATTTCTTTCAAATATTATTATTTTCCTCTGATAAAATGTTACATGTTTTATATTTACATGTAAGTTTTAATTGCCTTAGTATAGGTTATTTACACTTGAAGACACCAAAACGTTAATGGCTAAAACTGGAAATAGCAGTAGGTGACATCAGTTCATATATTATTATTATTTTTACAATTTCTTCTATATCTGAGACGAGTTTAATGCAGTCAGTAAATCCAAATATTCTACAGGACATCTGTGTCCCACAGGAGCATGAGATACATATCTGGAAAATCTTTCCAGAAAACTTATACAGAGCGGTCTAGACCAGAAGCTGTCGGGTTACAGTACTCTAGCCTGGTGATCTGGAGCTTTATGTGATCGTTTTGAGTGTGTTCATAGAAACTGAGGAAACATCGGAAATGCTGAAGACATAGTTTAGTAGATGACATCTGTTTAAGTCTGTCAAGTTTGTTGAATCTGGAAAGGTTATCTTCAGGACACTATTGAGAATGTACATAACTTTCAGAAGAGTGTTAATGTGATTCGGTAACTACCCAAAGAAACCTCGATTTCTGTAATGAGGCCAATTAAATTCACCTGTGCTGACAGAGGCAGTGTTCATTGTGCACGTTTTTCTCATACATTTGGCATGATGTTTATGTTTGTTCATGTCCTTTCACCCCCAGGTCATGGGGGTCTTAATCAACTAGGTGGCATGTTTGTGAATGGACGCCCGCTCCCGGAGGTCATCCGGCAGAGGATCGTGGACATGGCGCACCAGGGCGTACGACCTTGTGACATCTCCCGCCAGCTGAGGGTCAGTCACGGCTGCGTCAGCAAGATCCTGGGCAGGTAAACAGTCCAGAGCAGCCCATACTGGAACACATCGAACACACACACACGCACCACACACACACACACACACACACTCTAACAACAACAGGATGGGCCAAACACATTCACTTATTTTCTACTTTTCCTCACTTAGTATTTGTTATGTCTCCTCTGCTCCGCTGCCAAACATACCGAATCAGGATGTACATTTATTGTACATGTATTGACCAAGCTGCACTTGCAAGAACATGGTGCCGATTTGCTCTAAAGTAACCATCACATATCAAGTACTTCACATATATAACGTTACACACAATATACAATCTACAAGACGATATACAGCACAGTGCATGATATACACATGCAGAGTGAGCAGACTCAGAGTAGAGTAGATCGAATCTAGCAGAAATAAATGAAGAATAAGTGAGCAGACGGGTGACAGAAGGAAGCTGTGAAAGCAGTCAGCAGCTGTGTGTGTGTTTTGTTTTAATGGTCGTTTGTCTTTCAGGTATTATGAGACGGGCAGCATTAAACCAGGAGTCATTGGGGGCTCAAAGCCGAAAGTGGCGACTCCTAAAGTGGTGGAGAAGATAGCGGAGTACAAGCGTCAGAACCCGACCATGTTTGCGTGGGAGATCAGAGACCGACTGCTGGCCGAGGGCGTTTGTGACGGTGACACTGTGCCCAGCGTCAGCTCCATCAACAGGTACTGAACCCAAACCTCATCAAAGAACATTACACACCACAGAACGTCAATGTGCTTGAAAATCATCATGGTCCTAGAATTTAGTCCTTAATTTTCTTTGTGCAAATTTAATCTTCCTTCTTAATTAACTTTGTTAACCCACTGTTTTCTTCTCTTAAAGGATTATTCGCACAAAAGTTCAACAGCCATTCAACCTTCCTCTGGACAGTAAAGGCCTCAGTCCTGGACATACACTGAGTAAGAACATACACTAACAATTCACAATAATATCTGTTTCAGTTCAGTGCAGTTAAAGTAAAGTCTGTTTGGTTTACAGTTCCCAGTTCAGCCGTCACTCCTCCAGAATCTCCTCAGTCGGACTCTCTAGGCTCCACCTACTCCATCAGCGGCCTGCTGGGAATCCCACAGACCAACGCTGAGGGCAAGAGGAGCCGCGATGACAGTGAGTCTTACAGACTATTAGTGTGCTGTAATGCACCGATTCAGACAGCACTGAATGATGACAGAACCTCCAGACACCAAACATATCAAAGTTTAACAAATGAACCATGACATACTGAATGATGCTGCTCCGCTGTTTGCATGAGGCATAATTTTGATCCTGAAACATTAAATTAATTTCCAGGTTGGGTTAGGAGATGGGTTTAGGAAAAATGCATGGCTGAGATGAGAACAAATGTGGCACATTTTTCAGGTTTTGCAGAAATGTCTGTATGGTACAATGTTTTAAAGAGAGTCCCATTATCAGTAAAGAAATAATGAGCTTCCATTTGCGTGTCAGGTGATCAGGAGAGCTGTCGGCACAGTGTGGACTCTCAGGGCAGTGGCAGCGGACCCCGGAAACAGTTGAGGACCGAACACTTCCCTTCCCAGCACCTGGACTGTGGCTTTGAGAGGCACCACTACAGCTCCGACACATTCAGCCAGACCGTGGCCGGCAAAACAGAGCAGGTACTGGAGCAAAACGCTGTCCCAATCACTGCGCATGCACACAGATATTCAGCTACTGACTCTCTCTCTCCTGCAGTCACTCTATCCTCTCTCGCTCATCAATGGCAGTTTGAACGAGGGTAAAAGTGCTTCAGCTATCAGTCGAAACCTGGCAGCACATCAGGGATACACAGTGGTTACAGGTAATAACCACAATTCATATGTAAAAGCCTTTAATTCCTCATTTATTCTCCTAATCAGAACGATATTTACAAAAAGAGAGTCACATTTACTGTATGAAAAGACACTTCCGGAGTGCCATGTCCAGCAACACATTACACAGTTCATTTAGCAAACCGCTCAGTCCTGTATTCCCCAAATGTATAATTCATATTTGATTGTTGTATTCGCCATTTTCGTCATTGTTTTGCATATGTGCTTATGCTGTCTGTGATTATTGTAATCCATTCCATTGCACATCAATTAACATTCATACATTAATTTTTCCACCTGTCTGTCGACCCGTGCTCCGCCTCAGAAGCTCTACAGCCCCTCCCACTCTGTTTGAAACAGGAAATGTCACCTGAGGTGAACAGCTCAAGCCCCTCCCCCAACATCATCGCTAATTCAGCCTTCCTGGAGCTCACTTCCATTTCGGCTCCGTCATCAGTGCCCATCGCTAACAGCTGCAGCAATGCCACTCATTTATCTCATGGCTTCAACTCATTTTCCCATCATGCCCCAGTGCACGGGCAGTTCAGCAGCCCGCCGCTCATTGCAGGTAAAACATCACAAATCACTCATGCATCCATCATCCCAGTTTCCCCACCTGTCCGGTGTTTTCGATACTGTGAGACAAAACAATGAGTGGATTTGATGACTGTTTCAGGCAGAGATGTTGCGAGCTCAATGCTGCCCGGTTATCCTCCACACATCCCGTCGGCCACGCAGTCAGGCTTCTCGTCATCCACCATTACTGGGATGGTAGCAGGTGAGCCAGCCTTTTGAATTCTCATGCATTTAGCGGTGTTTGTTAAAGGGGTCATATGATGCGATTTCAAGTTTTCCTTTCTCTTTGGAGTGTTACTAGCTGTTTGTGAATAGATAAGATCCCTAAAGTTGCAAAGACTAAAGTCTCAAACCCAATGAGATATTCTTTATAAAAGTTAAGACTCGTACATGTCTGCGTCACGATGTGGTAAGATTTGCATCCCAAATGTTCACGCAAAGAAAGAAGGCGTAACTTTGATTCTCGCTGTAGTATTGTTGCTGCCGCCGCCGCCATGTCGTAGAGACGCTGTGTATTTCGTTGCGAAAGCGAAAATACTTTGTTTGGTCTTCCAAAAGAGGACACAACTCGAAATCAGTGGTTAAGTTGTATTAACATCACTGTTCCAGAACAGTTCAAACCAAATATTCAGATGTGTGCAGCGCATTTTAAGGAGGACGAGGACTGTTTCCTGGGAGAGTAGACTACAATGCAGGTGTTCTGACAAATAATGCTGACTCACAGCCTGTAAGTACGTTTTCATATTTAAAGGATTTGCCACTGATGATTCAAACGCGAGTTTTGAGCAGTGTAGAGTCGCACTTGTTGTTTGTCGTTTCTTCGATCACAAATGCAGACACGGTTTTATGTTTATGTGGCGCGATGCAACGCAACACGTAAAAAGACAGTATAAGTCATTATAATCAGTAATTATGCTACAAATGCCTCGTTTTGTAATGGGTTTTATTGGTTTTGTCTCGTCGCGCCGGGACATGGCATCACAGTATGGTAAGGGGCGTAACATTTCCGTCACACACTTGAGGTATTCGGCCAATCACAACGCACTGGATATCTGGCCAATCAGAGCACACCTCACTTTTCAGAACGATGAGCTTTGTAAAAATCAACACATTTCAGAAAGGCGGGGCATAGAGGAGAAACAATAATGTACAGCATGTGGAAAATAATGTTTTTTTAACCTTAAACCGCATAAACACATTTCATTACACCAAATACACAAAATAATGTTCTTTTTAGCAATGTCATATGACCCCTTTAAGGCAAGTATCACTATTCAGTGGGGATTTTTTCCATCAAACACATTTATTCAAATAAGGCACTAATCACTTGATGTAGATGTGTTACAGCTAAGGCTGTCAGTCAACCAGACTGTTTCTGGTATGTATTTGGCGTAATAGAAGGTCATGTGCTCAATAACAGCTGCAATAAACAACACTTACATATCTGCTTAATTTTATAATTCTAACATTAAATATTTAAATATGGGAAAGAGTTAAAATGACACTGGCTGTTCAGAGAATATTTTGCAGTTGTAATCTCTTTATTTTTCTTATGTTGAATTTACTGTATCTGAACCACCAAGCTTGAACCATTTTACCCAGAGAGTTCAAATTTCAATTCATTTTGACCTGCCCAATAACACAGGACTACAGGGCATGAGCCAGCCAACCACCCAGAACAGCCTAGCAACTGCACAACAAATCCACAACCACATAGACACTTACTGTGATTCCTATTTATTAAAAGAATAATCTGTCTTCCGTTCTTCATTTCACCCCTACTTTAGATTGTGTAGTAGTCTAGCTTAGATTTAACAATTCCACTGTATGCTCTAAATCTGGTTCTTATGACAAATGACTTGTGATGTTCCTCAATTGGATAAAAACATCTGCTCAGTGAGCTCAAAGAGAATGCATAGCAACACTCCAGTATTGGTGAGTTTCACACAGGCATTCGCATTTACTTCAGGAATTGTAAAAATCTAGTTTTGTGATTCTGCGTTCTCATCAGTGCAGTTTCTCTGAAACAGTTGGTGATAAACATGGTACAGTATGAATGTGAGGAGCGCACAGAGCGTGTGAGAGTGCCGGGAGGGCGGTTTAGAAATTAACAGAGGGAAGGGTGGGTTAATCAGTAGCTGGTTTGCTGTGGTATAGCAGGTCTGGGCGAATGGGGGGAACGGGGCAGGAGTTCCGCCCTGCTGCCCGCAGCGGCCCCTCTCACCCGACCACACAGCGCCACAGGAACCACACTGGGGCCCCACTGAGGGATCATGACTATCAGTCCCAGAGAGATGGAGAGAAAGACAGTCTTAGGTGGAATGCAAACCGTGAATGAATGCACAATCTGTATGGAAAGCATATACAGAGAGTATATCCATTAAGGAACAAACGGTAGGAGGAGTGCGAGGCAAACGCAGCAGAGCTCGATGGAGCTGCTCAGACTCTGATACACTTTTCTTTTTTCATATGAAGTCTGCCCTGCCAAGCGCGAAATGAGAGGGTCTGATTTATTATTTTTCTGGTGGGCTTGCTGAGAGGAAGCGTTCATACACAATTACTCACTGAAGGGGGGGATTCAATCCGGCTCCCATAATTACCAATTAGATATTGGAATGTTAAAAAAAAGAATGGCAGAGGGAGGCGGCGAGAGCATGAAAGGCTAAAGGAGGAAGTGAGGGATGGAGAGACGCTAAAGCAGACTGACTGTATGCACCAGTGAGCAGCCGTCCACCTGCCCAGCCTGCGGGATTAATGGTTTACAAGCGCCTCTAACCACCAAGTGAATGATGTGCTAGAGCTCAAGCTGCTGAAAGTGCAGACGAATTCGCACAACACTTTACAGGACGAGAGCCTAAGTCTGAATCTGTTGTCATTCAAGGAGTTTGTTTGTTGCATGCTTGTTGTTGCTGGTGTCTTGTTTAATGTGTTCGCCTGTGGATGTGTGTTCACCTGCAGGGCCAGAATACACGGGCCAGACCTACAGCCACACGCCATACACTTCCTACAGTGACGCCTGGAGATTCACCAACTCCAGCATATTAGGTACGTTGAGCAGAATCAACAGTGTGTCTCTGAGGACTTTAAGTGTCTCCACAATGTTATGGTTGTCTAGTACAGTGGTTCCCAACCCTGGTCCTGGAGGCACCCCAACACTGCACATTTTGCATGTCTCCTTTCTCTAACGCACCAATTTCAGGTCTTTAAGTCTCTAATAATGAGCTGATGACCTGAATCAGGTGTGTTTGATAAAGCAAAACGTGCAGTGTTGGGGTGCCTCCAGGACCAGGGTTGGGAACCATTGGTCTAGTAGAGGGTATTCGCTATACATGGGGAAAAAACTACCTGTATACACCCAAATGGGACCGCCTTGCCCTTCAACTGTTGCATAAAGTTTCAGTCACATGTCCTCTAACTTTTTGTGTCTTCCGGCTATTGAACGTTTCTGTGGAAAGAAATAATGCCACAGTCACAAGACGGCCATTAGCCCTCTAGCTCGTGAAAAAAAACTACCTGTATACACCCAAATGGGACCGCCTTGCCCTTCAACTGTTGCATAAAGTTTCAGTCACATGTCCTCCTAACTTTTTGTGTCTTCCGGCTATTGAACGTTTCTGTGGAAAGAAATAATGCCACAGTCACAAGACGGCCATTAGCCCTCTAGCTCGTGATTTAATTAGAATTACAGAGCAGACAAACTGAAGTTTCAACAATACAAAATAATATAACAAATGTTCTACTTTGGCTCCTCAGTATACTCTATGGACTCCCTGTCTCCCCCTGCAGGTTCCCCGTATTACTACAGTTCAGCCGCGCGAGCGCCGCCTCCCTCCACCGCCGCTTATGATCATCTCTAGTGCCGGACTTTTTACAGTGGAGTGTCCAATGAAAGACACAAGGAGTGAAGAAAAACGAAAACATATTGACGGACAATACCTTTTATTGCCTGTAAAACTATTTATGTCCTTTGTTCAAGGCGCGATTAAAGGCCACGTTTACATCTTCATCCACCAGTCAGAACATTTCTTGCCTGTGTTTTTATTTCTCTGCAGCCAAATAGTTCTGCAAACTGTTTTCATATAGGCTATTCATGGACAGAAACCCTTTACGGGACATAAGCGTTGTTTTTAGCAGCTGAAGCATCTGAAGTGTAGCCTACACGGTCGACAAATACTGCGAAACTGCATCCACACAACTGAATTATATAAATTAAAATGTTATAAATGATTTTAACGGAACATGAGAAACACCTTTCACTGATTAAGAAATGGAGTAAATGCCATTTTACGCACGTGACATTTTGATGTTGGATTCGAGCTGAATGAATTGCTATAGGATGGGCTTCATTGATATTCATACAGCAAATATTTAAAACGACATATAATAACACGATGTTAACAAGCGGATATTTCTCTCTTCGATGTGCCATCCACCAAATCCACAAAGATTATCAAAAACATCACGGCTGCATATTCAGTCCAAACCATTACAGTAGTTTAATGTTTTGGGGCAATATGTAAATAATGTAGAGATGGCAAACCCCTATTAAAATGAAATCGATTTATAATACACATGATTATTAAGGCTGAACCGTGTGGGGATTCCCTGATAGCACACATACATCTCGGAGACGTCTATTTGATGTCTGCATTTACATCTGCAAGACGTATTTTTTAGGGTGTTTGCTCATCTGCAATACGTCTATAGGACGTTTCCTTTTAGATGTCAAATAGACGTCTATTAGATGTCTTTAAGATGTTTATGATTTAGAATGTATGTAAAACTGACATCTGAAAGACGTCTGTTAGATGTTTGTACACAGCAGATGCTTTCCAGATCAAGAGATCTTTAACAGACATCTTGCAGACGTACATGCGCTATCTATAAAATCTTTATATTCTCGCTTTTATTTTCTTTTTCTCCAGCTTATCATCATGCTTATATTTCTGTGATAAAATGAGTTTGAGTTTCAGAGATTACGTTTTATTGTACTGTTAATTATATTATTCAAATGTAAATTAATAATTTCTACAGAAGTATTTTGAATTAAATAAAGCATGACAAAGTCCACTCATGTGTTTTCCTCTTTGTACCATAATAATAAGTGTAATTATATATTCCATATTGTCAGAATATAAGAGCAAACAGCTTGATTATCCTTAAATATATAAAACCTTTATATAGGCCTAGGCCTAACTGCATAGGCTGCTGCTACTGCTAGGGTAGTTGGCGCTGATGATTATGGTGTTTCTACTATTTTCCTGTTGAAAGCCATAAATTATGTTGCACATTTTTCGCCAGTCAGCGGTTTAACGGAACACATGAAAGGGACAAAAGCAATGATCCTGAAAACATGCGCATCTGTTTAATTTCCTTTTTTATTTTCTGCATCACGTACTTTTATTTGCAATTATTTCTCGCCTCTTTGTGGCCTCATTATAATGGCTCTTTAACGAGGCCACGGTTCGACGGTGCCGCGGCCCACCTGGATCCAGCGCGCGCGTGATGAATGAGGGCCGTTTACACGTGGAAACCGAGAACACGAGCGCCTGGGGCTCCGGTACACGACAAGAATCCTGAACGATAAAAACACTGACCGTCGAAGACGTTCTGTGAGTACAGAATGTTGTGTAAATGTGTGGGAGCGAGGGGATTCTTAATAACATCAGTTTAACCGTTTGGCAATGAACTACACTGTGAAATCACACATGAGCATAACCTTCCTCATGTGATAGCAATCTTTCGCTTCTGCTTTATAATTTATTTTGAGATCGTCCAGTTTTCCAAAGTAGCCTATATTGGAACCACAAACACAAACCTACAATTTACCACCAGTGGGAGAGTAACACACACACACACACACAGGTTTGTTTTTATGGTTTATGGGGACTCTCCATAGGCGTAATGGTTTTTATACTGTACAAACCGTATTTTCTATTGCCCTACACCAACCCTACCCCTTACAGGAAACTTTCTGCATTTTTAGATTTTCAAAAAAATTCATTCTGAATTATTTATAAGCCTTTTGAATTACGGGGACACTGAAAATGTCCTCATAAATCCCCTTGTTGTAATACCTATGTCATACCCATGTTATTATACAAATTTGTGTCCTCATAAACCACATAAACATGCACACACGCACACACACACACACGTCGGGTTTATCCTTGTGGAGACTCTTCGTAGGCGTAATTGTTTTTATACTGTACAAACCGTATGTTCCATCGCCCTACACCAACCTACACCAAACATTTTTATATTCTCAAAAAAAAGTCCCCATGAGTCGGTGTGTATTCAGGTTTAAGTCCCCATCGGAATTGAAAAACATGCGCACGCACACACACACACACGCATTTTTAAACTGACGATTGAATTAAGTTAAATTAAAACATTTTCCATAAGCTATGTTTACCATTTTGAATTAAAGTGTGTAGTAAGGAAAGGAAGATAATTGGTATTTATGGCAAAATAAACGTTTAAAACAAGTAGCCTACATTTTATTAGGCCTAGCACACTAAACTGTAACAAATTCACTCGTAGGCTACTTGCATGGATAACATGTTTTATTACCTTTTCCCAATACACAAAATAAAACGCGACTTTACCCGTTATAATCGCTGGAATATGGGAGTTTTAAAAAAAAATAAAAAATAAATAGGCAGTAACCTATTTTTCAAATTTATTTTCGGCCGAATTATCCATAACCCGACAGGTAAAGTGGTAACAGGTGTTCTTTAATTTCCTCCTGAGAACCATACAAATGATTTGTGAGTTTTTTTTATGTAATTACATTGGTTGCATAAGAAATAAATGTAGAAAATTATTCAATGTCCTTTGTAGAGGACGTCAGTATACCTTATTCAAAACAAAAACAAAAATGTATAGGCAAAAATTTTTAAAATAAATAAATAAATAGGCAGTAGCCTATTTTTCAAATTTATTTTCGGCCGAATTATCCATAACCCGACAGGTAAAGTGGTAACAGGTGTTCTTTAATTTCCTCCTGAGAACCATACAAATGATTTGTGAGTTTTTTTTATGTAATTACATTGGTTGCATAAGAAATAAATGTAGAAAATTATTCAATGTTCTTTGTAGAGGACGTCAGTATACCTTATTCAAAACAAAAACAAAAATGTATAGGCAAAAACTGATGTATTTTTTCAGTTTTTAGGTTTCAGACTATTTTGAGCCAAACTTTGTACAAAGATGATTCTCAACTATGTTATGAAAGATATAACAGAACGATTTGATATACTATTTTACTTTATGCAATATGTGCGCAAAATGTCCATAATTGATATTCCCATTTTATTCAATTTATCTATACGCTGCATCTAATTTGCATTTTAATGTGTTCTTGGGGCAAATCATAATAACAAAGAAGAAGTGTTATAGTGGGAGTAATAACTTGGCAACATTTTGATAAGAATATCTAATTTTTCATAGGAATATTGATCTAGAATTTATTTCCCTGTTGTGTCTCCCCAAAATGCCTGATTAACATGCCGTTTGTCCTGGTGTCCTCTACAGTAGACGTGTATGAAAATTATGCCTGGTTTCGTAACAAAAAGTATTTTTCCGATTTGAAACCCCATAACATTTTTTCTGAGATGTTTATTTACGACAAACAATTTGAAAATTAGTCAGACTGAAATGATAATTACGAAATATTATCATATTTCCCTGAGAGTGCTAAATTTGATCATTCTGTCAATATCAGTCATATTTAAAGACCAAGGAGAGGGAGCGTCTATGATCAAACCTCCAAACATGTTACATCTCTAAAAAGCTGAATGTGCTCAAGACATCCAGACATAAAACGGTGGCAGAGAAATTCACTAAAATATAATGTCCTCTACAGAGGACAAAATCTATGCCTGGGTCCCAGGAGGATATCAAATAAACCGTTCGCCAAACATTTTGGCAAATCATTTTGATTCCGCTCTGCATGTACCTTTACCGCTGCTCTGATTCTTGCATGTCCGTTTGCGTTTTGTCCAGTTACGTTTTGACTCAAAACCGGAGGAAAAACTCCGGTAATTTCAATCCTCACGTAAACGCTTTGTCAAGTTTATAAAACGAGCTGCTTTTTCGTAGTTTTGTATTGTTGCGCATGTAAATACACTCACTGAAAACATTTAAACTTCTGTGTTCAAGCACGCAGAAACTAATAACCAGGAACAAAAATGTACAAGTGTGTGTGTGTTCATGGAGGCAAAAATTACACCAAATCCCTTCCTGTCATCAACCTCAAAAAATCTCTGCCAGTGCTGCCAACTGGGCTCCTGCCCGCTGCGTAATGACCACAACTATCAAACCTTCATGCTGCTGAAATCCAAAGAGAGTGAGAAAAACAAGAATGTGTGGCCATAAAGGCAATGATAATACTTCCTCCCTGTCTCTTTTAACAGCCTCTTTCTGTATTTGTGCCTCATTCACACTGTTACCCCTCCCTTCCCCTTGCCCAGGGCAACTCAAGCCCTATTAGCATGGTGCTCGGGCTGTCGGTTTGCCAGTAATGAGTCCGGCAGCACAATACGGGCACCGGGCTGGAACAGCTGAGAGAGGACAAAGCCTCTGAAAATGGGGCTGGGCAGAGGGCACAGAGAGAGAGAGAGAGCGGGGCCAGGAGTGTGTGGGCATGTGTTACAATCATCACAGGAGCCAAATAATAGGCAGACAGGGGCCCTTCAGGAGCTCCAGCCAAGAAGGCAGCTCACTGTTGGTGTGCTAATACTTCATGTGTGTTTCAAAGAGAGACCAAACGTTTATGCTTCCGTCCTGCACTGCTCAACTGGAAACTTTGCGTTTGTAGTTAACAACAAACTCCAAGTCCCCTCTAGAACCGTCGGGTCTGCCAAAATAAATTAAGAGCCGTGTCAACTGACATCATGAAGCTGTTCTTCCTCAGTCTGCTGGTTATTTGTGGGTGAAGAGGGTCATTGTAGCTTTGACAGAAGCACTTAACCCAGATTGGGTGAATGAACCCACCAGCCTCATTAATTGATTTCAGCAGCAGACACTGTCAGTTTATGACATCAAATTTGCAGCCTTTTCAATGCCAATTAATTAGTGATCATTTCTGTTGAGCTTATTGTCCTCCATAGTGTGTTTGGTTGATGTGGAGCAGACAGCATTCCTCAAGAGTACAGATCCAGCCCTAATAAAGCTACATAATAAACAGGTTCATTATGAAAATGTGTGTGTAAACCAGTACAGGGATGTCCTGTTTCTATGTGACTTTGAGTCTTTCACTGGATTTGGCCAAATTTTCTCATTGAAACACAGAAATCACACTCTTCACTATAAACATCCATTTATATGAACTGAACTGAATTTACCAAAATAGAATAATCACTGATGAACCAAATGTATTTTGAAACTTTAAGCAGCCAAATAATTTGCTCTTTTCTAAACTTTTTAAAATTACAAAAAAAAACCAGGTTAAACAATAGATTATTATGAAGAAATAAACCGCAATACCGTTTTCAGCATGCAAACACAAGCACACATAACATTTACATGCACTAT